CACAACGTCCTCATATCTAGCCATGAGATCATACCATGAGTCTTAATAAACTCACCTAATACACATGTTGAGTCATTGCAAACACTTTGTCTTCGAGTAATGCACTATATTGTTTATGATCGTATACTAGGACCATGCATGCATCGTTTTCCATCGCAATAGGAATGAGTGTAGTATTTCCCATCAGTTTTCAAAATCGTTTCATACACTCTTCCTTTTCAATCCGAGTATTGAGTGAATGCATTAAGTGAGTTCTTTCTTACAAAGTATTTGAGTCTAAAATAACTAGGAAATAGTTGGAAGAATAAGGGGAACGTCTCTCCTTCCTTCTTTCCTTCCAATCAAAGCATCAACAACAAGAAACTATTTTCCTCAGTAGGCAGCTAGAAGTAACTCATAAACAGCCATGAAGACAAAGCACGATGCAATCTTATTACCAAGATTTCATGTTTTCTTCTTCTTTTGTTTCAAACCCTTCCCCTAAAAAGTCAAGCATAGGTTTTCCTTATCCATGTGTCTATGTGTCACATTTCTTACCTTCATCATAAATGAACATCTCTTTCTGACATTCGATCATGTAATTAGCAAAAAAAAAAAAAAAAAAAAAAAACAATTGCCGTACCGAACACAAGGTATACCAATCATTTGAGGTACCTTTGCAACCCATTCATTCCTCATTAACCTCTCAATCACAGATCCATTTCTTCATCAACCACTTTGACCCTCATCTGATGATGGACATTTTTTATTCAACCCACATTCACTTAACCCTAGGATGGGAAGGTGTGTAATTGTATAACATTAAAAAAGCAAGTAAAAAAAAAAGTAGCAAAGCAACAATAAAACAATGTCTAAGGGCAAGTATTCCAATGTCTTTGATATGAACACGTCTCAAATTGCGTCTCTCATCAAGTGCTTGGTACCGTGCCTGAGAAACATGAATGCTAAGTGAGTGATGGACCGCATGATCTGAGATTGCCCACATTGATTCAAAAGAATGTAAAAAAAACGAAAAGCAAAAAAAAAAAAGAAAAAAAAAAAAGACTTGCAAAATTCAAAATTTTCAAATTCACAATTACACATCTTGGGGATTCTCTCGGGTCTTGAGCCTTGTACCCTTTTCTTCTTTAAACCATCAACTTAACCATATTACAACCCTTGAAAGACCTCTTTGAGGTGTACATACAATTGTGCAAAGTTCGATTAGTGCTACGTTCGGCCTGATTCCTAACGGGTACGTAGGCAACCTCATATTGAGGTGCGGCCACATTCATATCCATGATCGAGTCGAAATATATCCAATGCTTAATCCTATGACCTTATCCATATAGAGATAGACTTGGGGGCTTGAACCCACACCATTTAGCCTACCTATCCTAAAGAGTCACCATTTTGACTCTTCAAACATAAATTTCCATCACCATAGCAGTTGCAGCCAGCCTTAGTATCACATTCACACACTTCACTCACACATCCATATCCATATCCATATATATGATCTTTTCCTTTAAGAACCTTTTTTCATGAAATCTTGTTTCAACACTGTGCATGCTTCATCATCTTTCAAGAAAACATTCATTAAAAGAAACATTGTATACTTGCTTAGCTTCCTAACCTGAGCAAAATTCATTGTTTCATGCATCGCATATCGTGCTCCTTGACCTAAGCAATATTCATTAAGTAATATTCAATAATAACTTCATCTATATACGTTCTTAGCTTCGAGACCTAAGTGATGTTCAAGATCGTTTCTTTACACCATATATGATGCTTAGCTCCATGACCTAAGTTCAATTCATTAATCTATCGTGTCACATGATTTAAGTTTCCTTAGCCTCCTGGCTTAAGAACATGCATCATGCATACATTATTTTCAAGACAAGCAATTCAATCCATACGATTCATTTCGTCTATCTCAAGGATGAAGTTCAAAACTTCTTCTCTTCTTCATTATTTTCTTTTTGGGAAGTTCAAATACTTTTTCAAAATTTTTATTGAGGGAAGTTCGAAAACAAAACTTCATTTTTCACGTCTTTCTCGGAAGAGAGTCGGTACCCTCCACTCATCTCATGACAAAAATGAAGGAATTTTTTTTTACTTTTTCATTTTCGATTGCTTGTGTCTGTGCACACACTCAAACTATACACACACAATCACAAGTCTTACTCATGTCATGTCATGTCAAGTCAAACTTGGTCAACTCAGTTGGTCAAGTCAATCATAGTCTATACGATTCCCTCGGCAAATTTTATTTTGCAGGTCTCAATTATAGCCCACGTCCGGGGACAAGCGGGCCATTTACAACCCACGTCCGGGGATAAGCGGACCATCTACAACCCACGTTCAGGGATAAGCGAACCATCTACAACCCACGTTCGGGGACAAGCTAACCAATTACATCTTACGTTCGGGGACAAGCGGACCAACTACAGCCCACGTTCGGGGACAATCGAACCACCATAATTTCACGACGCAAGGTTCTCGATACACAGAGACTTGCAATCTCATCATTTGTTGACTTTCCTCAGGCATGGAAAGTATTATCGGTGGGTTTCTTCAAGCATAGAAAACCGCCAAATTCCTCTATCGGCTTTCCTCTAGCATGAAAAGTATTATCGGTTGGTTTTTTAAAGCATAGAAAAACACCAAATTCATATGTCGAATTTCCTTAAGCATGAAAAGTATCATCCGGTAGGTTTCTTCAGGCTTAAAAAGCTACCAAACTCATCAGTCGATTTCCTCAGGCATGGAAAGTATTTGAACAAAATGTCATTCGGTGGATTCCTTCAAGCATAGGAAGCTACCAAACTCATTTGTCACCGATACACAAGTGTTAGATAAGCATTCTATTCCTTTACTCTTTTATCTGTGGAACTAACATTTTTCTGCAGGTATCGGCATATACAGAGTGATTTAGGATCGCAGAACGTCTTGAATCATTCTCCGTCCCTATAGACTACTTTGACTATTGTTTTTGAAACTGACGTTTCTACAAACTCAGAAAAAGTGGGGGCTTCTGTAGAAACCTAAAAATGTCTCCCCAAAACAAAACCCAATGATGAACAACTATTCACCGTCATTATTGGTCGGGTTGAGTATTTAATCTTGGAGTGCTTAAATCCATATTTTCATTTCATAAAACCAACCTAACTCCTATCCCATTTCCCCAAACAATAACTTATTTTCCTCTTTTCGTGCCTTTAAACCAAAAATAATTCATTTCGTGTCCTTTAAAATCATTCATTTCGTGTCCTTTTTATAAAAACATTTATTCCAGTTTATTTTGGTCTATAATATTTGTCCAATTATTGAATAATTGGATGGGGCTTGAAAATAGATTTCCAACGATATATTATAAGCCTAAATCCGAGTTATAACGAATAGGTTATGACCAAAATATTAAACTAAGCCCAAACTGAACCTAAGCCAACCTTACCTACGACCCAATGATCATGTGGAGGGTCCAAATTATTTAATCCCATTCCTAAACCAATTAGGATTAATTCTAGGCTTCTAAAAGTTTCTAAAACATTTTAATTAACTTTTTGAAAAGATAAGATTAAAGAGTTTGAAATTGAATAAGACTTTTCTTTTTGAAAATCCTAATTCTATCCGATTGAAAGACGTTCAAAAATAGTCAAATATGATTTTGTGCCTGATATTTTTTATTCAAATTTTGTATGGTTGGATATCCCATGAAATTATCATTCCAATGATGTATTATAATATCAATTCCGAGCTACTACGGAAAAGATATGAATAAAATGTCAAACTGTATCCAAAACTGACACAGTCTAACTATTTCGGCCATATCTTTTATTTTAAATTTTTTTTTAATCTGATTCTAATTGGGTTAGTAATTAGATCTCAAGAGCTTTCCAATGATATCTTATTATATTATTCCAATAACTGGATCAAAAGATATGATAAAAACAAAAACCGCAAAAATTGCAGTCTATCGAGTTTTATTCCGATTTAATTCAGATCTTATCTTGTTTTTTCGACCGTTCTTTTCTATAAATAGAGGTCATATCTCCCATTTTTCAATCATCAACAAGATTGATCATCAAATAATTCTCTTTTTCCCTCTTTAGCCTAAACACTAGCCTCCCCATTCTTTCACTATTCCTTCCTTTATGCACTCCAAGGAGTCCATATAATACCCAAAGTTCTAAACTTAAACCAGGGTGTGAAAGGTAAAATTGACTAAGTTTTTGGACTAAATCAACTCTACTTTTTATTTAATTTAATTGTTTCAATTTGATTTATATTTTAATTGAAGTTACTAACAGTTTATTCATGATGTAGCAATTTAAAGGAACGTGCGGAATGTGAGTAATTAATTAATTTAATTACTCTTATTTTATTTTAATATTTCTAGTATCATGATTATGGTTATTTTATATTTGATTTGACTAATGCTATTATTGTTAAATTGCTTCCAATATTAATGTTTATTCTATTGTTATTATGATCAATATATTTCATGTTTAAAGGGAATATGTAAATGAAAATAAAAATAATGTGCAAAGGTTTGATAACCAAAGGGGTCAATGGAATAGGAATTACAAAAAGAAAGGTAATTTTGACAACAATAACCAAGGTGGTGGTTATAGGAACCAAGTGAACCAAGGTTCTCAAGGTAACTAAAACAATCAAGGTTATAGTAGCACAAATAATAACCAAAATTATGGTAATCAAAACCAAGGTTATGGAAATCATAATCAAGGTAGTGGTAACCATAATCAAGGTTATGGTTAAAATCAAAATAGGGGTAATTGGAACAATCAAGGTAGAGACAATTTTCAAAATAATGCTCAAAGACTCAAGATGATAATTCTTATTCACAATCCTTTTCCTCTAGGACTAATTTGGAGGAAATCATTGAGAATCAAACAAAGTTGTTGAACACTTACATAGCTGTAAGTTACAAGAAATTCAATGAAATGATGACTCATAATAAGATGCTTGAAAACCAAATTTCTCAACTTGCCAATGCTATGAAAGACCATGTTAGTCCTTCTTCTTTACCTTCCCAAGGCTTAGATCCCAAGAGACCCGTGAATGCTATTGTTACAAGGAGTGGTAAGGTTCTTGAGGAGAGTTTGCCTAGAAAGAGTGAGACTAAGGAGGTCTCCAAGGAAGTTTTGGTAGAGGATGAGAGAGATGGTGCATCTTTGAGTGAGGTTGTGATTGAGACACCTAGAGAGGTGAGAGTAGAGAAAGAAATTTTGAAACCCAAGCTTCCTTATCCACAAAAATTCATGAGACATAAGTTGGAGGAACAATTTGGAAGATTTATTGACATGCTTAAGCAACTTCACCTTTCTCTACCATATACCGAAGTTGTCACCCAAATGCCCAACTATGCAAAATTCCTCAAAGACATTTTGAGTGGTAGGAGGAATTGTGATGTTGTGGAGACGGTTAATTTGACCGAGAATTGTATTGCAATTATAAAGAACAAGATGCCACCCATGTTGAAAGACCCTGGAAACTTCTCTATCCCTTGTGCCATTAACAAGATGCAAATTGATAATGCCTTATGTGACTTAGGAGCTAGTGTTAGCCTAATGCCATATTCGGTCTATCAAAGAGTTGAGTTATGGGAACTTTTGCCTTTTAAAATTACCTTGCAATTGGTCGATAGTTCAATTAAGATTCCTAAGGGGAAGGTGGAGGATGTTCCTTTGAGAGTAGGGAAGTTTGTGATTCTTGTGGATGTTGTGGTTCTTGAAATGGATGAACATGCTACCATTCCTATTATTCTTGTTAGACCTTTTCTTGATACCTCGGGTGTCATGATTGATGTTAAAAGTGCAAAAATTTCACTTAAGGTAGGAGATGAGGTCATTGAATTTGACTTGAATGAAAGCATGAAGTATTCATGTTCTTCTTTAGAATATTACATGTTGATTGATTCTATTGATCATGTTGTATCTTCTATGCATGAGCACTTGCTCACTTCAAATGATCCTCTTGAGAATGTCTTGTTGAATAAAAAAAGATAGGTGCTCCTATCAAGGAAATTGCAATGTATGAAGATTTGCTAAATGGAAGCATCGAGGAAGTGGATGAGCATATGTTCATGAATATCTCAAGCTAAGAGGCTTTACAAGCTACCATTTCAAAGGAAGGTAAAGGTGTACCAATGGTTTAGCTCAAACCTCTTCCATCACACCTAACCATCAAGGAGTCAAGATGGAGCGGTCCCAATTTGACCAAGAGTGTTTTTCCAAATGTTATTGTACAGGTCTCTATGATGGATTTTTCTTTTTCGTTTAAGGTCAATGACTATCGTCTCAAGAATTATTTCCACGGTGCTTTTGTTGACTTTGTTCACTCATTTATTCTCCGACAACAACCTTAATTGGTTGAGGACGTCGAGCTATGACGTTAAACAAGCGCTACCCGGGAGGCAACCCGATTTTCTAACATTTTTCTTTTGATTTTACAATTTTCTATATTTATTTCTTTGAGAACTTTTCTTATTTCTCTTTATTTTTGTTTGTTCTTTTGATCTTAAGTACCATGAGATTGGATCGAAGAAAATTTCCAGTAATTTTTGTGTTACTTTAAGATTTCATGAGGTTTGGTTAAGCTTGGAGGACGGAGTTCTTTGGGGTTATATGTTATCGTGTTTACATTTCCATCGACTTTTATTCATGTTCAAATATATTTTGGATTGTTTTTTATGAAATTATTGAGTACTTGATCATGACAGTCGATTGCGACGGCTATCCTTGGCATTTTATTATCATATCATAATTATTGGCCTATGAATTTTTACTAGGATTTGACATTCAAATTGAATTTCATTAAATTTGACTGTCCTTGGTTGTTGACTTTTAGGGGTGATTCCCTTTTCTATCTTTGGTTGTTATATCTCTAACATAAATTAGTTACTTTTTGTCTTTTACTTAACAATATTGTCATTTGTTAGTCAATATTAATTCTTTCCTAATGTTAATTCCTTCCTAATTTCATGTAACTAGTAACTTCTTTTATTAACTAACAATTTTGTTATTAATAAGCTTGCATATTTCACATCTTTTATGGATATCCAACACCACATCCAAAATTATATCCAAAAATAGAAGTCATCCAAAATATTAGTCATACATGGATATATAAAATTATATCAAAAATGTTAGTCATACATGGATATCTAATATTATATCCCAAATAGGAGTCATAAAATACAATTCCATCTACTACAGATATCTAAAATGTAAGTGTTCATAGATAAGTACACTGAAGTTTTTCCATCTTTCCTAAATTATACGCATAAGTCCTTAACCAAGTCTTGTACATATGGTTTAGCTTTGTTGAATTCTGACATGTCGTCTTCACACAACAACCATGCTCTCTCATGTGCCATATCAGTAACAACCTATTTTCATTGAATCATAATTTTGTTTTGATTCCAAAAATTCACAAGTATTATGGGAACTAAGGAAGCAATATAATTATACCTCTCCTATCTTGATCACAAAGTTTTGTGCATTCCTCTTAATCGCCATCAACATATGTGTAGACACCTATTTTTGGCCTCTTATCCCAAAAAGGAAGTGCGATAATGTTATAAAATCCCGTTCTTCATGCTAGATCAAAGTTGAAGTGTTTATGGACTACGAAATGCATTATGAAGTAAGTTAAAACCCATATTTGATACCATTTTATCTTAGAGCCTTGTCTGATTACTAATTAGGCCTAAAACATGTTCATACATGTTTAAACTTGATTAAGAATAGACCCAAATGCATTAAATGCAATGATTAGATCCAGTGGAACCTACATTGTTGAAAACCGAGCCAAACAAATAAACCAACCATCAAATTCCCATAAAATGCCTATACAGATGGATAGCCCTTTCAAAGAGCTTTCCAACGGTACATTTATAAGCCCAATTCCAAGCCAAAGCAAAGAAGTTATGATCAAAACACTAAACCAGGCCCTAAAACCGACACCCTTGCACGCTAACGTCCATAACTTTTGATCCATAACATATTTTAACCTAATTCTAACGGAATTGGAAATTAGACATTCAGAGATTTCCAATTATATCTCAGACGCCTTAATCCAACTCCGCAATAAAAAGTTATGGAAGGTTTAAAAACGTGTTTTCGTAAAAGGCAAACCGCAAACCAGCGCAACTCAGTAACCTGCGCTCGCCTGGCGCGCGAGACTCATTGAGATGCGCGCGGAACCCTGCGCGACTCAAAGATTTGCGTGCGCCACCTGAATGTGCGGCTATTAAACCCTAAACCTAGATTCCTACGCCTATAAATAAGGGTCTTCGTTCAGCATTACAAGGACAGAAAAATCAGAATTAAAACCCTAGCATTCTCAAAACCCTAATCTCTCAACTTCTCTTACTATAATACTACTTTTCCTTCTCTCTTCCCAAATACTTTCCAACCCTAATTGAATCCATTCAAGTCCTTGGAGGTACGATGAAGAAAGAAAGTCCACAAATATATTTAACGAAGATTTAACATAAGAGAAGAACGGTTAGTTTCCTGAGCACTTAGATAAATCACTCTTCCTTTATTATTTACATAACATTAATTGAATAGATAGTTTTGTTTGATCGCTTTAAACAAACTTTTAAGTAATTAATTAACATAGAATTCTTTTGTTAATCAAGACTAGAATTTGATAATTAATTGGTTTTTTTATCACTTAAGACAAAGCGAATATTGTTTATTTTGTTCTTTTCACGAATATTGATTATTAAACAAAGAATAACGACTTTTGCAATGTAATTCCTATGTGATTGATGCTTATAAATAAATTCAACTAACTTAGTCTTTAGGTATCATGTTGCCTATATTGTTTGGTAATGAAATTGTGAAAAAGGAAGAGCTAGTAGAGGCCGCACTAGGGCTAGAATTGCGATTCTCCTTTAAAGGGAACGTTACTTTAGTGCCCTTGCTCCCGAACTAATTTTTGGTTTATGTAGACCAATTTGGGCATGGATAAACTTATGATTTGTGCTAAATATCCCATGAACTCCACATGGGAGAAAGGCATGAACGAGGTTTATGGGTTTTCCCAAAACTCATTGGCGACTCTTATTTGTTTCTTACAAAAAAGCGTGATGATAGAATCAATTCTAATTCAAGGACCCCAAACAGTCAGGAATTCAAATCGTAATACACCCTAACAAGTGTAAAGTCCCACGCTTTTAAATGGCCATGGGAATCTAAGGAAGGATCCCCTATGATGGGAACACCCTCCTTACAATGGCAACTTCACTGGGACCTTAGATGTTACAAGATTAGTTCTTACTTATGGTCCAAGGTTTCTAACACTAAGTTGCCTATGGGTTGTAATGGGAATTAACTTGGATAATCTCTAGTTAGAGAGCAAGACTTGAACGCTTAATATCTTCCTTTTGCACAAAAGTAAAAACCAAACAAGCAACATTGCATCATGCATAATCATAGCACACTTTAACCTTTAGGGATTGGCTCATTGACTAGGGGCTGCCAACACCTGGCTTCTATCCTGAAATCAATAACAATCATCCCACCCATATCGTCAACAAAATGTTGAGAGAGATATGTCATGAGTCAACACGTTGAGTGATTGATTTGTGCATCGTTTCTTAAGATATGGTACCCTTGGACAAGCCTTAACCTTAGAATGACATTGTATGCTTTGACGGTTCCTTTTATGTGCTTATGTGACTACATGAATATGTGCTTCGTGTCTAATCTAACTAATACCAACTTGTTACCTAGAGATATAACAAAAAAAAATCAAAAAAATGTTTTTTTTATCATTCTTTTTGCATTTAAAAAAAAAAGAAAAAAAAAACGCATGTGGTAGATGCTACTCTTGAAGATGCACTTTCCACCTTAGCGCAAGACGGAAAATTGCGCGCGATACTGTTTTTGATTATAATGATTTGTTTACGTACTTTATAATCGAACTAATGACATTACTTCTTATGAGGTTCGTCATAAGAAGTTTGCATCCCTTAATAGGACGTCATCAATATGTTTATTCTTAAATATGCCTATTTCGTGTTCATCATGTTTTTTTTTTTTTTTTTTTGGTAATAAAGAGGTTATATTGCCAAAAAAGATCGATTTACAACCAAGTTCCAAAGAGGAACAAAACTAGACTAGGAGGAACCTGGTAAACAAACAAAAGCTACACAAGCTTATCTATCCACTCCCTATTCTCCTTTGCTATCTTTCTTGTGTTCATATTCCTAAGTCTAGTTACAATATCAAATTTAATGCTCTTTACAACAGTATGTATACAAAAAATCTTCTGCTCCCACAAAGCAGTGTTTCTTGACATCCAGATCTGATATATACAAGCCAGTATACACATATGCAAGACCCTTCTACATAAGTCTTTCTTAACTCTTCTTATGGCACGTCTAGCACTAGCTAGATTAACTAGTTTAATCCTAGTATCCAGCCAATTACTGACTTCCTTCCAAATCATCTTACTGTACTTACATTTGAAAAACAAATGTTCATGATCCTCCTGCACATCACCACAAAGTAAACAACTAGCCTCTGTAGGAGCACCAAACCTCAGCAATCTGTCCCTGGTCATTAATCTGTTGTGCCAAGCAATCCAGCCAATGAACTTATGCTTAGGAGCAGCCCATTTTTCCCAGACCAACTTATCCCAATTGCAGCCAGTCAGATCAGGTCTCAGGACCTTATACATCCTGCTAATGTTGTACATACCCTGCCCAATTTGAGCAAGATCTAACACACTCTTCATTTTATCTTTAACTCTGCAGATTTTCTTCCAATACCAACTTGAATCAGCATTTGGCTGATAATCAAGGCAGTTCTTATTTTAAATATAGACTGCATTAATCCATCTTACCCACAGATTTTCTTGCTTCTGAGAAATTGCCCAAACATGTTTCCCTAGAGATGCAGAATTCCAGTCCTCTATGCTTCTCACACCCAAAATACCTTCCTTTTTTCTTCTGCAAACCATGTCCCAAGCAATATACCCTAATCTGTGCTTC